CCCGCGCTCGGGGCCGCCTCTGGGTCCCCGCGGGACAGCAAGGGTGGGGCGCGGCTGCTCTCTGCCTGCGCGGAGGGGTCTCAGCCGGCTGCGCCCGGGCACCGGGCACCCGCGCCACCGGGAGTGGCAGCCCAAGATGGACCCCACCCAGCCGGCCAGGCCGGAGACGGCTCTCCCTCCGCTGCCTCCTGGGCACAGCCGGTCCTCTGTGGCCCTTCCTCCTGCCAGCAGGCCCTGCGGGCCACACCCCAGACTGGGGACACGGGGACCTTGACAGGGCCGGAGGTGGGACTGGCCCAGAAGGCTAGCTAGTGTGGGGATGCTCTCTGCTAGTGGCCCGTGGCGTGGGAGTGAGTCTCCCTGGTTTTCTATCTGATCAAAAGCATTGCCCTGCCCTGCCCGTCCTCTAGAACCATCAGGGAAATCCACTCAGGCAGACGCTACGGCTGAGCCAGCTCTGGGTCTGAGGCTAGACTTTGGTAATCTCATGCACAGGTGAGAGGTGGAAAGGAGAGCTATGGGTAGAAGACTAGACCCTTGAATTCATCACACAGCTGAAAGGCAAGCAGAGCTCCAGGTCTTAGTCTGATCAATATGGAGATAAGACCCAGGATCCCTATAGAGGGGGAGAGACAAGCTCCAGGTCCCCTTCACAAATGTGACTCCATAGGATTGTGGGTCTGCAGGGTCAAGAACTCTCACAGTCCAGAGGCAGAACAGCTCAGTGACTAACTAGGTTAGTGCTTAGGTATGGATGCAGAGCCCTTTCTGGGCAGAGAGTCCAGAGCGAGTTGGGATCTGGGCAAATGGGGCCCAGCCAGGGTGTGGGAAGAGAGGCTCCTCGCTTGCCAGAGCACTGAAGGTGTGAGGTGTGTGTGATGATCAGGACTACCATGCCTTCCAGGCTGGAGTGAGCTGGGTGCCAGGGGAAGATTCCTTCTCATCTCCTGGGATCCCGGCTCCACTGTGGCTCTTGGTTCTGGGGGCCAAGTCTGAGCACTGACTCTACTTTCCTCCTGGGCCATACAGAGACTCATGCGGCTCTCTTCCCCACAGCCTGCAACTTTATGTCCCACGAGAAGTGCCTGAAACAGGTGAAGACCCCATGTACGTCTGTGGCTCCCAGTCTGGTGCGGGTAAGTGTGGGGGAAGTGCAAGTGACGGACCCTTGCAGACCCTCGTGTGTCAGTTTAGCTACAATGTGGTTAGGAAGGAAAGGATAGAATCTTGCTCAGCAACTAAAAGGAAAGAGCTGAAGGTATGCAGTGCACCCTGAGTAGATCTCAGGGGCTTGAACTCACTGGGCACTGTCCCTGAGCTGCTTTTGCTCAAGGCTAGCACTCTGCCACTTGAGCCACAGAGCCACTTCCACTTTTCTGTTTATATCATATTGATGAATTGAACCCAGGGCTCCAGGCATGCTAGGCAAGGACTCTACTACAAGCCACATTTCATGCCTGGGAATATTTTTTTTTTCAAAATAAAAATAACTTAGCTGGGTGCTAAGTTATAGGCTCACGCCTATAATCCTAGCCACTCAGGAGGCTGAGATCTGATGATCACCATTTGATGCCAGCCTGGGCAGGAAAGCCTCTGAGACTTTCTTTCCTTTTCTTTTTTTCTTCCTTCCTTTTTTTTTTGGTAGGTTGTGGGTCTTGAACTCTGGGCCTGGGTGCTGTCCCTCAGCTCTTCAGCTCAAGGCAAGTGCTTTACCACTTGAGCCACA